CGAGTACCAGCTTCAGACCGGCCCTAGCCGCGGCACTGTCTGCTCCAGGCCCGGCCACACCGCTGACTGCTGCTACCGCCGCCTGGACGACCTTTTCTGCACCGCTTCGGTCCTGTGTCAGACCCTTCGGACTGGTACGCCCTAGCTCGCCGCCGTGTGCCTGTCTTTGAGCTTGACATGGATGAGATTAGGAATGATATGTCTGTCATGTATGCTGATGACTCTAGTGTGATTGGACCATATGACCCGGTGTTACCTAGCGTAGGTGTATCCACGGTGTGTAGTTTAGGCTCCCATGCTGCGTCAGGCATAGGATCCTCTGCCTTGTTTAGCCTAGGCTCCACACTAGCGCCTCCGCCGGCTGTCACTACCGCTTAGGTCTCGTTCACGCTTGACTCTGGTGCATCTGCCTGCTTCTTCCGTGACCACACTTCGCTCACGCCGCTTGCTGCCCCTGCCGCTGTCGCGCTTCCAGACCCCTCCTCCGGTCCGATAGTTGCCCGTAGCTCCACTACCCTCCCCTGTCCGGCGGTCCCCTTGGGCTCTCTTACAGGCCTACACATCCGCTCGTTCTCTAAGAACCTAGCTTGTATCGGCTGCCTTCAGGACCATGGCGTCACCGCTACGTTCTCCGGACACGAGCGGTACGCGGTCTGTACCGAGGCCGCCACTGGTGCCCCTCTGACCACGTTCCCCCGGGACCCTGTGTCCGGCCTGTTTACGCTTCACACTGCGTCCCCCCCGATAAGGTCGTCCCCCCAGGTGCCTGCGGCTACCCAGGTAGCCACCGCTTGCTCGTGTCAGTCGCTCACTCACCCGTCGCTGCTGTGGCACCACCGCCTAGGTCTTGTCCTAGTTCTCCCTGCATCGCTCCTTGCCCTCCCTCCCTCGCATGCGCCGCCGTGCACGCCCTGCGTCAAGGGCCGGCTGCGCCGTGCTCCTCACTCCTCGTTTCCCCCTACCACTGCGCTACTCTAGACCCTGCACTTGGACGTTTGGGACCCAGCCCCAGTTCCTGGGCCGCGTCGGATGCGCTACTTTCTACTGCTCATTGATGACTACACGCGCTACACCACGGTGTTTCCCGTGGTGTGGAAGGCTGTCGTGACTGACGTCCTTATCCCGTGGGTCGTAGCTGCGTGCGTCCACCGCGGCCTCCTTGTGCTTCGTCTCCACTCCGACCGTGGCGGCGAGTTCGCCTCCGGTCAGCTTGGTCGGTTCTGTCGTGCGGATGGCATCACCCAGTCGTTCACCCTGCAAGACTCCCCACAGCACAATGGGGTCGCTGAGCGACGCATCGGTCTGGTTATGGCGGTAGCGCGTACCTCCATGATCCATGCCGGTGCACCCCATTTTCTATGGCCGTTCGCTGTTTGCTACACCGCTCACCAGCTTAACCCGTGGCCCGAGTCTCAGCGGCCGAAGGTTTTGCCAACCCTCCTTTGGACCGGGTTCCCTGGTGCGGCATCTGTGTTCCTTATCAACGGCTGCCTCGCTCACGTTCGTGCCTCTGGCACGGACAAGCTCACCGCCCGCACTGTCCCCTGTGTCTTCCTTGGTTTCCCTCTTGACGCGTCTAACTGACACTTTTAATACCCGCCTTCTCACCGCTTGTTTCAATCGCGTGACGTCACTTTTGACGAGTCTGCCTCCTTCTACCGCCGCTTTCCCTACCGAGGTCTCCCGGTTTTTCTGCCCCTGTTTCTGGTTCTCACTCCTTTGGTAGCCCCTGCTCCTCTCTCTCCCTGTCCTGCCCCGTTTGGCGTGTCTCACGTCACTCCCCTCCCGTCAGTGGTCCCGGTGGAGGAGTCGGCTGTCTCCGGGGACCCCGCGGCTTCGGTTTTGCCGCCTCTCTCCGCCCTGGTGTCTCTGCCTCCGCTGCTGCAGCCACAGCAGCTGCCGCCATCGCCGTCGCAGCAGCAGCCGCCGTCGCCTTCGCAGCAGCAGCCGCCGTCGCTGCCTCAGCAGCAGCAGCAGCAGCAGCAGCCGCCACTGCAGCCGCAGCCGCCGCAGGGGTCCGCGCGTTCTAAGGGTGCTGGCGTTGAGGAGGGCTGGAGTTCCTGCCGTGGCTCGTTCCGGCGTACCTGGGGGGGTCACCGGTGATGGAGAGGGTTCTTGTTGTGAGGTTACTAGAGTGGAGCGTTGCGGAGGTAGCCGTGGTGCAGCCAGGAGGTTCTGGTGTCGGCGTGGAGCAGCAGCCGCAGTCGCCGCAGTCGCCGCCGATGTCCGCCCTTCGCCTACTCGGTCTTCCCTCCCCTGACCACCCGCCAGCGTCTCCCCCCCCGCCACCTCCCCTGCCTGTCCACGGCCCTGTCTTTCCTCCGCCGAACTCGTCTTCGACTCGTCTCCCCCCTCGTTCTCCTCCTGTTTCTCCTCCCCTGTCTCCTGACCCGACGCCTCCGTCTCACGTCTGATCTTGCCGTCCCTCCCTTGCTCGTCCCGTCTCCCCTGTTCAGCGCTCCCACCCTATGTTTCTTTGTTCCCACGCGTCTCGTCCTTCTCTCCTCCCGTCGACTCCTCCATCGTCGCTTATTATCGCTCCGCCTCCTCTGTCTGACTACCTTTGTGGCGCTCGTCCTCTTGTTCCTCGAGTCCTTGCCTCCTTCGTTACCAACCCGTCTGTTCCTGTCTCGAGTCTTGACGCCCTTATCGTTGCCGTTGCTGACTTCGCCTCTACCTGCCGCCTTGACTACGCCACCGCTCTGGTCTGTGACCCTGCCCGTCGGGGGTGCTCCCGCCCTTGGCAGTGACGTTCTGGAGGACCGGCAGTATGAGCTTGCTTTCCTGTCCGAGGCTGCGCCTCATCTCTGCTCCATGCTGCTAGTCCCTGAGGGTGACCCAGACGCCTTTGACATCCCGACCCCTCGCACTTAGGCTGAGGTGTCCTCGGGACCTTGGGCCTCTCAGTGGATAGCTGCCATGGACGCGGAGATGGCATCTTGGAGATCCACCACCTACGTCGACGCTGTTCCCCCACCTGGGGTGAACGTAGTCGATGGCCGGTGGCTCTTCAAAGTGAAACGGCCCCCTGGAGAGCCGCCGGTGTTCAAGGTGCGCTACGTAGCTAGAGGCTTCAGTTAGCGCGAGGGTTTTGACTTCTTTGAGACCTTCGCCTCGACCCCGAAGATGACTACTCTTCGGGCGCTGCTACACGTAGCAACACATCGTGACTAGGAGCTGCACTCTCTCGACTTCTCGACAACTTTTCTTCAGGGCAGTCAGCACGAGCAGGACTGCCTACGTCGCCCATCAGGCATCACCGGCACCTTCGTCCCGGGGACCCAGTGGCTCCTTCGGCGCCATGTTTACGGCCCGTGGCAGGCGCCGCGCGAGTGGCACGACTCGCTGCGTGCTACATTCACTGACGAGCATTTCTTCGCGTCGTCTGCAAACCCTTCGCTTTTCATTCGTACTAGCTAGACCCCGTTCTACATCCTTGTCTACATAGACGACCTGGTCTCTGCTACAGCAGACAGAGACGCACTGGCCTCCGTGAAGGCTGAGGTGCTGAGCAGACACACCTGCAATGACCTGGGAGAGCTGCATCGCTACCTTTGCCTGCAGATCTCCAGGGACAGAGCAGCGCGCACCATCACTCTTACACAGTCACACTTGGTGCACCAGGTCCTTCAGAGGTTCGGCCTTCAGTTCTCGTTTGCACAGCCCACACCTCTGCCAGTAGATCACATGCTGTCAGCTCCAGTCCCTGAGGAGTCTATAGAGCCTAGTGGTCCTTACGCAGAGCTGGTGGGTTGCCTTATGTACCTGACAACTTGCACTCGTCCAGATCTCTCATACCCTCTCAGCATCCTGGCTCGCTTCGTGGCCACTGGCAGACACCGACCGCAGCACTGGTTGGCCGCTAAGAGGGTTTTGCGTTATCTAGCAAGTACATCGGGCATGGGGCTAGGGCTAGGAGGACGGAGGCCAGTGGTCCTTACTGGGCACACAGACGCTTCGTGGGCAAACGACGCAGAGACACGCAGGTCTTCCCACGGCTACTGCTTTAGCCTTGGAGCCAGCGGCGTCTCGTGGCGGTCCACCCGTTCTTGGTCTGTTGCCCAGTCTAGCTGTGAGGCTGAGATATATGCCGGTGCCATGGCGGCACAGGAGCTCCGCTGGCTGACCTTCTTGATCGCGACTTAAGTGAGCGGCCTAGCTCTGCCCCGGTCCTGTACACTGACAACAGGGCCATGATCCTCCTGTGCCAGGAGCCTCGACTTGAGGGCAGAGCTGCAACAGCGCCGTCAGGCCCGCGTAGTACACTTGGCCTTAGGTGCCAACAAAGCTGATATCTTTACGAAGGCGCTTGCGCCTGAAGATCATCAGCGGCACTGTGTACAACTTGGTCTAGTTCCTGTAGCTTCTCAGTTGCTAGGACCTTGATTGTGTACTACTTTTATATCATCTTGACTGGCTCTTGTCCCAGAGGTTGGACTAGTAGTACCGCCCTGGGTTGCAGTTGTATAGTTTGTCCGCTTGCTGACTGGTCTTCGGACCCCTGACTCAGTGGTTGGACTAGCAGTGCCACCCTGAATGGTGTGTCTCTTGCTAGGCAGTGCCTCTCATCTAGCCTAAGGGGTGTGTCAAACATATTGTCTATGTCTTTTATGCTAGATAGGTGCATACTCTTAAAGGGTACAACCCCTTGGACAAAACCACCATGTTTCTCTCATTCTAGTCAATCTTTCTACTCTGAGAAGTTGGCGCAGAATAGGTGTACCTTTCTGTTGAAAGTACATCAAAAGACTTAAGCGTTTCTGAAGTGTAACACTACACTCGAGGAAGATTGCAAGGGGCACGCGAGTCAACGGAGGTTACACGAGGGGGCGGACAAAGAACACGAAGGGTTTGGGACTCAAAGGGTCGCAACTGGAGGTTGCGACTGACCGTTACAACAGCACGGATGGTAACCGAAGCGACAATCGAGTCGCTGTACGACTCGACAAACCGCTACTGCAACTGTACTCTACAACTGTTTCTTATCTTCTATATATTGCTGTATGTTTGCCTTTTTATAATCACTTGTTCTCACATACTAGTACAAGGGTTCAACTGCCTCAACTTCCGCTGCACTACCCCAAGTCTCAAGTCTCTACAGCTGGGACTTAGTCTCTGCAAAAGATCCTAAGGGTTTTTCTCAGCCCAACATGGTATGAGAGCTGGTCAGAGACCAAACTCCCAGCAACTACACTCCATCAACAACCAGCAACTCAACTTGATTCAACAACTCCATTGATTACAAGACATGGACAACAAGGGCAAGAAGGTCTCTACGGGCTCACCGAGCGCCCAAGAAACTCAACACGGCAACTCTGGTCTGCACACCTCAGGACTGCAGACAGAGACCGGGACTGCTCAAGAAACAACGGGAAGAGCACCGGAGATGGTGACTCCGTCTCCCTCTTCAAGTGTGGATCCGAATCTCATGGAGAGATTCTTCAGCTTCATGTCACACTTCGACCAGCAGCAGCAGACAAGGACACCTGCGCACTCAACACAGAGCAATGGAGGGAATATGGGATTAGCGCCGATGAGCCTCGACAACTCATCCTTCGGGCGACACAATCAAGCACCTACTTTTGCGCCTTATCACTCTTCACCGGGGACGTTCGAGTTCATGTCGCCCCGTGCCCAGCCAACAGCAGCTGCATCACAACAAACACCGAACGAAATCTTAAGTCTTCAGGCACAGTTCTCACACGTAATTAAACTTCAGACATCCTCACCGTTCAACGGACACGACTTCTTTACCTGGAGCTTCGAATTCGAGCTGCTGATGGAGGCCGCGCACCTTCTGGGATACTTCAACGGGTCCCTGCCATTCCCAAGCAACGGCACTGGGAAGGAACAAGAAATCTTCACGTATCAGTCGCTGCTGGCGTATACGGTACTCCTGAGAAACCTGTCACCACAAGAGCAGTAGAGCATCAGAACGTATCGGAGTTATGGAAACTCCGCGGAACTCGCATGGCATCATCTCAAGTGCCTCTATCAAGCAAACGACAGCGTGACACAAAGCAGACTCATGCAACAGCTGACAACAATACAGATGAAGACCGGGGAAAAGGCGATGCAGTATATGAGTCGCTGCCAGACCCTCCGCGACCGCCTGCTTCGGTGCGGAGGAACGATCACTGAAGAAAGCTTCGTGACACTTGTCCTCGCCGGGCTCGGGCCAGAATGGAGAACCACACGATCACTTCTTCGAGCCCACGGAAGAATTTCGGAGATGCACCTCTGCGCCGAGCTTCACGCTGAACAACAGGAGATGGATCTGTTCGAGGAAAGACAACCAAGGAAGCAACAGCAGTTAGTCTTCTACACTCAAAGAAGAAATGACAACAACTACAACCGACGCAACAAGCAAGATCAACGCGACAACCGAGGACTCACCATCGTACCGCCGTTCTGCCACAACTGCCAGACTTCCGGGCACTCCAAAGTCAACTGCAACCGCCCTCGCGTTTACCGTGCAGCAGACCCACAAGTAACTTCCACTCAAGCCAGTCCCCCAAGGCGCTCTTCAACATCTGCACAACAGACACCAAACATTATCAATTGCATGGTACACGTCGACAACTGCACACCCGGATCACCACCCACTTACGCGCCAGACGAAGAAGAGCTACCGCCACCGCGCTCACAAAGCCTTCAAGTCAATCCGACATATGCTGCAGTCGCCAACGCCGAACCCACCGGGCGGAACACCTGGTTCTTGGACAGCTGCTGCGGTCAACACATGTGCTCCTCGGGACGCTTCGTGCAACAGGAGAAACGCCTCAACCGCGACGTCGTCATCACCGTCGCCAACAACGAAAACCTGAAGACAAACAGACAAGGCGTGGTTCAGTTACAATCAATGGAAACAAACGTAATACTGCAGCTCAACAAAGTGCTCATTGTCGACAACCTGGGATACAATCTACTAAGCGTAAGCCAACTAATGGCCAAAGGGATTCACCTGGAGTGCGACTCTTACTCCAACGAGTTCCGACTTTACCACGGGAAGGGCGGCCTCTTCATCGGTCGTGCCCTCCTGAAGTCCGGCGTCTTCGTGTTGGACTTTGTCCCCGACCGCGGTACTGCCGACAGCGACGGTATCGTATCGTTCGCCGCCTGGACACACCCGCCGGATCTTGATCCCGACTTCGACAGTGACGGCTTCTGGCACTCCAACACCATACCTGCAGCAGAAAGAACACGAGCATTAGCAGTTATCAGACAAGAACGGCAAGTACCAACAAGCGTCCAGTCCCAACCATCACCTGCAGTAGCAGCAGCAGGACCAAGCCGAGTACCACCACCGGCAGTCCGAGGACCGCCAACCGAAGCAGATCAACTTATGCCCATCACACGAGAAGTCTGTCGAAGTCCCGCCACAGTCGTCGCATTCTTCTCCAACGCCGACATATACCACCGCTCACCCGGCCATCGCGCTCCCGACGACATCTGGCACCAACGCCTCGGGCACCCTGCAAATAGTACAATACTACAAACCATCCAAGCCGAAGTGTTAGAACGCAACGCCCTCCTAACAACGAACGGCCAAGAACTTCGACGACCTCGCGCACGGTGCTTCACGTGCCCCGAAGCAGATCTTCCTCATCAACCCTTCCCATCACATCATAATCCAAGCGTGCCTGCATATGCAACGATGGAAAAAGTCTACAGCGACATCTTGAACATGCCTCGAGACGACACGGAAGCCGACTTCAACTACGTCATCACCTTCGTCGATACAGCAACAAGATACACTTGGCATTACAACCTCAAGACGCGCGATCAAGCCTTCGACGCCTTCACAACATGGCTCCCCATCGCCGAACGGGAATCAGGAACCAAGCTAAAAAGTTTCCAGTCAGACGGCGCACTGGAATACCAGTCACAACGCTTCAGGACCTATCTGGCGGAAAGAGGAATCAGGCGCCTGGTGTCCCTACCATACGCTCACCAGCAGCAGGGGGTCGCAGAACGCATGAACCGGACCTTGCAGACGACAATGCGAAAGCTGCTCCTGGGAATGAAACTGCCCAACACACTGTGGCCAGACGCGATGACACATGCAGTCCACCTGCACAACCTGTTGTCCTCGTCATCGCTCCCCAACAACGCATCACCACACCTGCTGTGGACGGGAAAAAGGGGCAGCACAAAATTACTTCGAGTTTTCGGCTGCATGGTACAATACAGACCCCACACAGCTCGAGCAGGACGCTTCACTCAACGAGCTCGGTGGGGACTACACCTCGGCATCGCCAAACATTTTCACGCGTGGAAGATTCTCGACATACAAGACAAAAATACGGTGGCATCACGTGATGTTATCTTCTACGAGCGACTGACGCTGCAGCATTACCTGGACAACATTGCCAACTCAGACGACCCCACCGACAGCTTCGCGGGCCTTCGCTCCTTCGCTGACCATGCTGCCGAGGCTGACGCAGCAGAAGAAGACGTCCCTGGAGCCTCGGAGGCTGCCGGACCACTCCCCTACTGCTCCGTACCTGTTCCACTCGATGAAGATAATCCCCTCGATAGCAACAACCTCGACACCTTTTACCACTTCGCTGACCAAGGCTACGCTACACCACACCCCGTCGACTCGAATATTTCCGAACGCATCGGGCCAAACTTCTTACCCGATCCTGAAGACGGTGATGAAGCAGCTTATCCCGGGAATGAAAATTCCCCTCGACACACAGCCACGGGACTGCAGATCCTAGGACTATGGGTCTCCGTCCAGCACCCGCCGCCGCCTTCTCCGCGCGAGCCATCGACCCTGTCGCAGGCTCTGGGGGGGGAACATAAGGCGGAATGGAAGGAAGCAATGGAAAAAGAGTTAAAAGCCCTCCAAGACCGGAATACATGGAAGTTAGTACCGACAACCAACACCAACGGGAGGAACATTCTCTCGGGGAAATGGGTGTACCGCATTAAGACCAACGCGGACGGCTCCATCGAACGTTTTAAAGCACGATGGGTCGTACGAGGCTTCGACCAACGATACGGAACCGACTACACAGAAACCTTCGCCCCAGTCTCCCGTCACACCTCCCTGCGCATCCTACTCGCCGTCGCGGCCACGAAGAAACTACCACTACGGCAAATCGACGTCGCAAACGCCTTCTTGTACGCACCTGTGGACGCCGAAATCTTCGTCGAACAACCCGACGGATTCATCGACGACCCTTCAAAAGTATGCCAGCTGGAAAAATCCCTTTACGGGATCAAGCAAGCCCCACGGCTCTGGCAGCAGCACCTTCACGGCCGGCTCGTAAAAATCGGATTCCTACAGTTACCACATGACCAAGGCATGTACCGACTGCAGAAGGGAAGAGATTACATTCTGCTCATAGTCTACGTCGACGACCTGCTCTACATCGGTTCTACCACCGACATCGTCACCTGGTTCGAAGGGGAGCTGAAAGGGGACCTGACGCTCACGGTGTCCGACTCAGTGACCCAGTACTTGGGACTAAATGTCGTCGAAGACAACTCGGCGTTCTACCTACACGCTGGAAAGTACGCAGGCACTGTCGCGAAGAAATTCGGACTGACGCCGACTACGGTCCCGACTCCCTACCGCTACGGAAACAACAACAGCGCCTCCGCAAAACTCCCCGCGAAGCAAATCCAGGAGTATCAACAGAAGCTCGGTTGCCTACTATTCGCAGCAGTCACCTGCCGACCCGACCTGTCCTATAGTGCGAGTCAACTAGCGACGCATCTGAAGCAACCGGAACAGGAAGATCTCGAGGATCTCAACCGGGCACTACTCTACTTCGTCTCCACGCCGACGATCGGACTTACCTACAGCAAAGCGACAACACCGTCCGTACAACTACTCGGATACGTCGACGCCGACCACGCGGGAGATAAGGAAAATCGACGATCTAGGACGGGCTACATCTACCGACTAGAACCCATCGGAACTATCTCCTGGCAGTCGAGCAAGCAGGAGTTAATCGCACTATCCTCGGCTGAAGCAGAGTACATCGCCCTTTGTACTGCGACCAAGGAAGGACTCTATCTACGAGAGTTACTCGAGGAAGCGAAGATCACGACCCTGCCCGCCTTCTCACTCTTCTGCGACAACCAATCTGCGATCAAAATCGCAAACAAGGACGGCTTCGCCAACCGAACCAAACACATCGCCCTGCGGTACTTCTTCGTCAAAGATGAAATCGCGAAAGGGAGACTTCAACTCAGTTACTGCCCGACAACAGAAATGGCCGCAGACTATTTGACGAAGAAATTGGCAAAAGCAAAATTCGACTACTGCATGTTGCTGACCGGACAAACAAACGTCATCGGACCTGAACAAGTCAGCACTCCAGAAACGAAGGGGAGTGTTGAAAGTACATCAAAAGACTTAAGCGTTTCTGAAGTGTAACACTACACTCGAGGAAGATTGCAAGGGGCACGCGAGTCAACGGAGGTTACACGAGGGGGCGGACAAAGAACACGAAGGGTTTGGGACTCAAAGGGTCGCAACTGGAGGTTGCGACTGACCGTTACAACAGCACGGATGGTAACCGAAGCGACAATCGAGTCGCTGTACGACTCGACAAACCGCTACTGCAACTGTACTCTACAACTGTTTCTTATCTTCTATATATTGCTGTATGTTTGCCTTTTTATAATCACTTGTTCTCACATACTAGTACAAGGGTTCAACTGCCTCAACTTCCGCTGCACTACCCCAAGTCTCAAGTCTCTACAGCTGGGACTTAGTCTCTGCAAAAGATCCTAAGGGTTTTTCTCAGCCCAACACTTTCAATGTAAGTTACGTAACTACACACCGCAGCATAAGTACACAAAACAAACTACCAAGTTAATCATGAAGTGCCTGAAACCGCAAATTCCACGACAAATGCAAAATTGCAATTACTCACTATCCACGGTAACGAGACTTTACTATGTAACAGTTAGCTCAGCTTCGCTGCTGTTGACCACTACCCACTGAAGAGTTAGCTTGACCCATAGTGTCTGCAGTTGCCCCAGGAAACCAGCCAGCTGGAGCTGCGACAGCAGACACAGCAGCAGGCACAGATCCAGAAGCAGCAGCCACATGTGCTGTTGTGCCAGGAGGAGCAGCGGTGGCGCCAGTAGCCGCGGCTCTATCTTTGTGTGGACCCGCAACAAACTCCAAGTCAAGAACCAATCGTTTACCACCATCTCTCGTTTCATAATTTCTTACCAGCTTCTGCCCCACAATCATTCCACCTCTACCACCCTCCTTCCGGCCGCCGACCCCTCCTCTCCGTCCCCTTCCCCTAGACACCCGATCCCCACCACCACCGCCGCCGCCACCACCACCACCAGAACCAGCACCAGCTGATGCGTCATCACCTCGTCTTCTCCCTGCCGTGCATTGCTCAGTGAAGCCCTCTCGCTCCATACCTCCAGCAGCAGTATTGAGAACAGCAGCAGGGAATCTGCCAGCAGGAGAAGGAGACACTCTACTGGCAGCCCCAGCAGCAGCAGCAGCAGCAGCGGCAGGGGAAGGAGAGGTCCTAGCCCCAGGCACAGCAGCAGCAACAGAAGCAGGCGCTTTACCAGAAGCAGCTACATTGGTCCCAGAAGCACCTGCTGCAGCACCACCCACCCCAGTTGCAGCCTTCCCTGCCAGCCCCCTTGCCTGTGCTTGAGCCGGTGCGGCACTTATGTCCGCCCCAAACAGGAGGGATGGTCGCGGGGGGCTGGGCGAAATGGATGCTCCGGCAGCAGCCCTGGCAGCAGGGACAGGAGGGGCGGAATGGGTAGAGCCAGAATGGGATGGAGCCATGGTATCGATGGGGGGACGAGACCTTTCGTGAAGGGGAGCCATGCCGTGGAAAGGAGCAGCAGCAGCAGTAGCAGTGGCAGCAGTAGCAGGAGTGGAAGTGGAAGTAGGGCCCGCTTCAAGCGGCTGAGTCGAAGAGATGGTTGACGCAAGGAGAGACGTGTATTGGTTGCGAGAAAGTCCGTGCCCCGCTCCTGCTCCCGCTGCTCCTCCTCCTGATGCTGCTGCTACTGCATGTGTTGCAGGGGAGGGGGAGGATCTGGGGAGGGGAGGTGGCGCAGGCATGCCAGCAGCAACAGCCATTGCAGCTGCTGCTGCCGCTGCAGCAGAGGTGGAGTTGAGAGGAAAGGGCGACGCGAGGTGCAAGCCCAGGGAGGACGTTGAGGAGGCAAGGGATGCGGCGAGGGTGTGGCTGGGGAGGGAGGGCGGCAGGGGGGGAATGGAGGAGAGAATGGGCGGGCCCAGGGGCCACGGGGAGGTGTCCTGCTGGTGCGGTGGAGTGGAGGACGAGGATGAAGGGAGCGAGTGGGATGCAAGGGAGGAGAGGGACGAGTGGTGGGGGGGAGGCGGCGGGGGGATGCTACTGGGTGGGCGCATGGTGGAGGTGTGAGCGTGGGCTGTGGGAGGAGGGAAGGCGTGTGAGGGAGCAGAGTGGGAGGGAGGGAGAGAGGGAGGAGGGAATGTGGAGGGGGGGCCAGTGGAGGGTGCTGGTAGTGCTGGTGGTGCTGGCGATGGAGGCATGGATGTGGATGTGGGTGGCCTTTGAGAAGTATCAAGTGGTGCTCCCGCACCAGTAGGTGTTGCTGTTGCTGTCAGGGAAGGAGTGGAGGCGGAAGCAGTGAAGGGGGAAGCAGAGCGGGGCATGTTGGCAGGGGCAAGGGCAGGAGGTGCGCGCATGGGAGCATGGGCAGCAGGGGTGGCGGTAGTGGTGGTAGCAGCGGCTGGCAAACGAGGTATAGGGGCGGAAGGAGCAGCAGCAAGGGAGGGAGGGACACGGAAGGTGGGCATGGCAGGGGGGTGGAGTCTGGTTGCTGCAGCCGCTGCTGCTGATGCCATTGCTGCTGCTGCTGCAGACTGCATAGGGCCGTAGGGTCCTAGAGGAGGGATGGGGGAGTGGTGGGAGCGAGAAGGAGGAGGGAGGGAGGACCAGAGAGGAGCAGCGGAGGTGGAAGTGGTGGGGGGAGCAGACGGAGCAGATGAGGAAGAGGCAGCAGAAGTGGGACCAGCAACTGCTGCCGCTGCAGCAACGGCAGCGGCAGAAGCAGCAGCGATGGCGGCTGCTTCAGGAGCAGGCACGAGGAAAGAGGAGAGGCAGGGGAAGGCGAGGTCAGAGGCAGGAGGCTGAGGCAACGCAGAAGCACCTGAAGCAGTACCAGCAGCAGCAGCAGCAGCAGCAGCAGCAGCAGCAGCAGCAGCACCAGCAGCAGCAGCACCAGCAGCAGCAGTGCTGCTATTGCCTGCGGCGGTTGACCCATCCACGAGCCGGGGATCCCTCTCGTTGTCTCCTCCCCAAGTCCCGTTCTCCACCTCCCCTTCACCCACCTCCATCTGCCCCCCTCCGTCTCCACCTCCTCTTTCTTCCCCACTCTCGTTCTCCTTCTCACTTGGCCGCCTGCTCCCGCCCCTCCCAGACCCATTGGCTCCCCTCCCATCACCTAACCCATCCTCCTCCCCTCCGTGTCTCCTCCTCCCTCTCCCTCTCCCCCCTCCAGCACCCGTTTTCCTTCTCTTCTCTCCTGCCCCACCTCCCTCCCTATCCCCTTCCCCTTCCCCCTCCCCCTCCCCCACACCCTTCCGCTCCTCCCTCCCTCTCTTTAGTCCACGCCCCGCCCCTCCCCCATGCTTCCCCCCAGCGTTCTCCCCTACCCCCACAACAGGCCCAGCATCCTCCCCCTCAGAAGTGGGGGGAGGAGCGGGGAGGGGGAGGATGAGGTGGGGAGGGGGAGGGAGAGCGGCAGCAGTTTCCCATTCACTGAGGGACCAAGGGGAGGGCGCAGGTGGGGGAGGTAGCAACTGGCCCAGCTGGGGCTCTGATTGGAGGAGGTCAGGGAGGGGCCTGTCAGGAGGACATGTGGCATCAGGTGCTTGGCTGCTGGGGGGAAGCAGGGGGAAGAGAGGGGAAGCGAGTACAAGGGGGAATCAAGGGCGGGTGGTGGATGGGGAAGTGGTGGGGGGTGCTGGGAAGGAGAGCAGATGATATTAGTCGTTCGTGAAGAATATGAAATTACATGATACGATATGATATGAAAAAAAAAAAAAACGATATGATCAAATGGTGGTTGTGTACTTGGCGAGGCTGCTATTGAAACTCACACACACATGCCCACACATTCCCTGTCCGCACACTCACCCTGCCCCAGCAGCATCAGCATGCAGGCACAACAGCCTGTGCTGCACGCGTACCCCTGCCTCCACCCCTTCCCCGCCTCCCCCCACTCCCCCTGCCCCCCCTGCCCCCTGGGAGGCGGCGAAGCTAACGACGAGCGAGCCGGCATCAGGGTGCGGCCAGGCAGTGGCAGCCGATGGGTAGCGGATGAGGTACCAGGAAGGGGACGATGGGGCGGACGCCTGCTGGCGGATTGGGGTGTGAGGAGGAAGGGGAGGACGGGTGGGATGGGGGTTGTAGAGGCGGGGAGGAGGGGAGGGGAGGGGTGGGAGGGGACAAGGCGAGGCGGGGAAAGTGGGACGAGGGGAGGAAGAAGAAGCGGATGAGGGAGCAGGAAGACAGAAAAGGCTTGAGGACACAACGCAAGCTGAACCAACAGACAACGCAACAAACCGAACCATCCATCCATCCATCCATCCATCCATCCATCCATGACAGCCCTTGCAAACAATCCCCACGAAAATGGGCCGACCAGCGACTGAGGTGAGCAGCAGGGTCTAATCTAGGCCTGCTCCTCCCTGGAGGCAGCGCCCATGATACAGAAGGGCGTGCGCGCGCTGTGCTTAGAGTAACGACTAAAAACTCACTGCTTTGTTTGCGAGCAGGGTCTCGGCCTCCTCCCTGGTGGTGACAGCGTCTGTTCTTGAGGAGCCCCCAAAAAAAAGACTCCTCATGCCGTGTGCTTTGAGTAACGACTCAAGACTCACCGTTTTGTGTGCCAGCAGGGTCTCGGACTCCTCCCTGGAGACGGCGCCCATGACCCAGAGGGGCGCGAGCGACAGCCACGAGGGGCGCAGGTGCGCACGTGCCAGGGCGAGGGCGAGAGGGTAGAACCACCGCCACACGCGCTCCCACTGCTCCCGCGCCACCGCCTCCCCGCACCCTGCCACACGCTGCAGATACTCCTTGTCCTGGGGAGAAGGGAGGGAGGGGGGGGGGGGGAGGGGGAAGGGAGGGAGGGGGTGTGGGAAAGAGACAGATGGGGAGGTTGTTGTTTCTCCTGTAATCTGATGCAATAAGGATGTGTACATTGAGAAGCAGCCCATTTGACGCAGCAGAGAGGCCCCTCCACGCAAACACAAGGGCAATGCGAGGCAAGAAGCCACCAGCAACACCATCACCAGCACCAGCACCAGCAGCAGCACCAGCAGCAGCAACAGCACCAGTAGCCGCAGCAGCAAGCCCACCTTAGCAGTGAGCCGTCTCTCCAGGCTGCCCACAGCTTGCAGCAGTTTCCCCTCCAGCTGCTCACACGCTTTGGCCCACGGCGCGGTGTGTTCGCCCTGACTCATGGCATGCCACGCGCGCTCCTCCTCCACCAGCAGCGCCCACGCCATGCCCACTTGCTCGCTGAAAAATGTGTGGGTGCACAAAGAAAGGGGGGAGAGGGGGGGATGGGGGGGGGGAGCGTGTGCAAGCCCTGACTCATGGTGTGCCATGCGTGCTCCTCCTCACCGGCCAGCAGCGCCCACGCCATGCCCACTTGCTCGCTGAAAAATGTGTGGGTGCACAAAGAAAGGGGGGAGAGGGGGGGATGGGGGGGGGGGAGCGTGTGCAAGCCCTGACTCATGGTGTGCCATGCGTGCTCCTCCTCACCGGCCAGCAGCGCCCACGCCATGCCCACTTGCTCGCTGGGAGGCACGGCAACAGTCGAACACCGGGGGGTGTGGGGGGCGCACAGACAGGGGAGGGGGGACGGGGAGCATACAAGAGAGATAAGGAGGGAACGAGAGGATGCCAGGGGAGAGGGAAAGAGGGGGGTGGGTGGGGGCGAAGAGGAAAGAATGGGAGTAAAAGCATGAAGGAATGGGGACACGATTGGCTTTGAGCCAAAGTGCTTTGACACATTGTTCCCTACCCCACCTCCTCACTCCTCTTGAAACCACAACACCATCCTTTCCATGCCCGCCACCTCTTCACATCACCATACACACTCACCGCAAAGCCTACTTCCTCTCACTCACCCACTCTCCTCCTTCCACCCACTCCCCCATGTCACATGCATTCCTCTCTCTCAGAAACCAAAAGCCCTTCCCTGGCCACCCCCACAGAAACCAAAAGCTCTTCCCTCACAGACCACTCCCATCCCCCTCTCCTGCATTCCTCTCTCTCAGAAACTAAAATCCCTTCCCTAGCCGTAGCACTCACCCCTGGTGCCTGCACCCTGTGATCTCCGCCACTTTCTCCGCCATATGCGCCATCCCCTCCCTCCCCACGCGCCGCGCCACCGCCTTGAGAAACTCTGCCTGCGCCCACGGCCCCTCCAAGCAGTACCGGAACGTGACGCGCATGGGGACACTCAACGCCCCTTGCTCCCCGCTCTCGTCCCCCTCTCCTGCACCCCACTCTCCTCTTCTTCCTCCTCCTCCTCCCCCCCCTCCTCCTCCTCCTCCTCCTCCTCCTCCTCCTCCTCCTCCTCCTCCTCCTCCTCCTCCTCCTCCTCCTCCTCCTCCTCCTCCTCCTCCTCCTCCTCCTCCTCCTCCTCCTCCTCCTCCTCCTCCTCCTCCTCCTCCTCCTCCTCCTCCTCCTCCTCCTCCTCCTCCTCCTCCTCCTCCTCCTCCTCCTCCTCCTCCTCCTCCTCCTCCTCCTCCTCCTCCTCCTCCTCCTCCTCCTCCTCCTCCTCCTCCTCCTCCTCCTCCTCCTCCTCCTCCTCCTCCTCCTCCTCCTCCTCCTCCTCCTCCGTCCTCCTCATCCAACTCCTCTTCTTTCTCCCCTGTGCTGTGCTCTTTACCCTCCTTTGTATCCCTTGCCCCCCTCCCCCCTTCCCTTTGACCTCTTCCTTTCTGCCCTCCTTCCCGTTCCCCATCAACTAGTTCACTAGCATTAGCACCAGCACCAGCATGTGAGTCCGAGCCACCAGCCTCAAGCACCAGCGCAGCGAGCTGCTTCCCCACAGCCTGTGCTGCTTGCTTGGTAAGGCCCGAGCCATCCACAGGCAGCGAGGAGGCTACCAGCGGCAGGGCGCCGGGGAGAAACGGGAGGTACGAGGGATCGAAGGGCGCACCAGGGAAGGGGGAGGGGTGCGCTCCATGGGGAGCTGGGGCGAGCGTGTACGGAACAGCGGCAGCAGACGCAAGAGCGCCGCCGGTGGCAGGGGATACGGAAGGAACCAGAATTCCGGCTGATCCGCCTGGGGCACCTGAGGTTGCGCCTGGAGTGGGGTGGGGAGGACGACCTGCCCCTGCTGCCGCTGCCGCGGCCACAGCAGCTGCAGCAGCGGCTGCTGCGGCTGGAGGGATCGGCCATGGAATGAGAGTGCCGTTGGGGCTGGGAATAAGAGCCGTGTGGGGGAATGAGGAGGCAGCAGCAGCAGCAGCAGCAGCAGCAGCAGCAGAAGCACTTGGAGCAGCACTGTACCCCTTCTCCCTATCCCCTTCGCCACTCTCCTCACTATCTGCCTTGGCCTCACCGTTCAAATCCATAGATGGCCGCTTCACACCCACACGCCTACCATCTCCCTCATCTTCCTTCTTCCCTCCTCCCCTTCCTTCCCCTCTCTCTAACCCTGCCCCCCCTGCCCCTCCTGCTCCTCCTGCTTCCCCTGCTCCCCCTGTACCCCCTACCCCTCCTCCTCCTGCTAGCCCTCCCGTACCCCTGGAAACCCCCCTTCCCCCTCCTCTCTCCCCACTTAAGCCTCTCCCATCGCGGCTCTCCCCACCTCCTCCTCTCCCCTCGCCTCCTGCTGCTGGTGCGTCCTTGGAACTCCCAAGATGAAACCCAGCCAAACCACCAGCAACGCCAGGAGCACCAGCCCCACTACCAGCACCGCTGCTACCGCCGCCTGTGGCAGCAGCAGCAGCAGCGGCAGAAGCAGAAGTGGCAGAGGGCATGTGAAGAAAGGGCATGGGGCCGAGCCCATAGGCAAAGAGAGAAGCGGCAGCAGCGGCGGCGGCAGCTGCAGCACCAGCAGGATCACCCGGCTTGGGAGGAGGGAAGAAGTACCCATGTGCTGCTGCTGGGTGCGGCATGTGCATGATGTGATGAGGGAACCCTGGAGGCAGAAGCACCGACCCTCCTGGCACTGCTGGCATGCCATGAGGGGCTAAGTTTGGTGGACGCATGTGAGAAAAGGGGGATATGGACGACGGGAGAGTGGATGCGCCAGCAGCGGTTATTGAAGACGACAGAAAGGAGGATAGAGAAGCGTCTGCAGCCCCAGTGGCAGCAGCGGCAGGGAGTGGAAGAGTGGGGACGAGAGAGGAGAGGGGCGGAGGGGTCAGCCTGCCTGCTGTGGCTGCAGCGGCTGCAGCCATAGCAGCAGCTGCTGCAGGGGAGACAGTTGACAGGTGGGTTACACCAGATGTTGGGGTGGCAGCACCGGCACCACCAGCAGCAGCAGCAACAGCAGCAGCACTAGCGGCAAGAGCAGCAGCAGTAGAAGCAGAAGCAGCAGTGGCAGGAGCAGGGGACAGCCGGGCGGACACCCCACAGGGGATAGATGCGTTCCCCAGCGCTGCCGCCGCTGCTGCAGCCATAGCAGCGGCTGCTTGGGACACAGAGAGGGGACCTGCTGAGGGGCTGGGAAGTGGAATAGGACCAGCGGTTGGGTTAGAGTTCTGGTTAGGGTTAGGGCTAGGGGTATCAGTAAGGTCTGCTGATCCTATGGCAACCAAGACAGGGGCGGAAGTAGTGGCAGGAGCAGTGGCAGGAGCAGTGCCAAGGGCTGTTGCAGGGGCAGTTGCAGCAGCAGCAGGGGGAGGGGAGGCAAGGGAGGGGATCTTTGGCAGGGGAGAGGTGATGTCTTCTCGGGATGTGGCAGCTCGAGCTAAGAGCTGAGGGGGGATGGGAGGGGGCGCCGCGCGAGGAAGGGCCTCCAGCACTCCTCCCAACCCTGCTGCCCCTGCTGGACCCCCTGGGCCCCCTGACCCCCCTCGCCCAGCCGCTGCCCCTTGTGCCGTGGCTTGCTGCTGCTGCTGCTGCTGCTGCTGCTGCTGCTGTCGCTGCTGCTCCCGCTGCTGCTGCTTGACCGATGTGACAGCAACAGCGGCAGGGGGGGCAGCAGCAGCAGAGGTAGACGCAGCAGCAGGCGTGGATGCAGCACTGGTGGAGGGCTGAGAGGCAGAGGAGGGTGTGAGAGGAGGGCGAGCCATGGGAGGAGCGGCAGCAGCTGCAGTGGGGAGAGGAAGTGAGGTGCGAGAGAGGGAGGAACGAGCAGGCCCCGTGGAGCCAGATTCCGCATCCCGTGCGTCTGCTGCTGCTCCTGCTCTTCCTGCTGCACCTGATACCCCTGCTGCTGCTGCTACCCCTGCTCCTCCTGCTCCTCCTACGCCCCCTCCTCCTCCTGCTCCTCCTCCTCCTGCTGCTGCTGCTCCTGCTACTCCTGCTGAACCCACAGTACCACCTGCTGTACCACCATCTCTACGACGGCCACCACCACCCCCACCACTGCTCCCAGCAGCAGCAACGGTGGCAGCCGCAGCAACAGCATTAGCAGCAGCAGCAGCAGCCACAGCAGCAGCAGCAGCAGCTCGGCTGGCAGGCAGCGAGGAGACAACAGCAGAGAGCTCTTCCTTAGTTGGCGGAGCCGCTTGAGAGTTAGGTCCGCCAGGGAGCAACGGAAGGAGAGGCAGCAGCTGCGGGGAGTGAAGAGCAGCTGAGGACAAAGCCAGCCGCCCGCTGATGCTGCCACTGCTGCTGCTGTTATTGTTGTGACCAGTGACACCTGATCTTCCTCCAGCTGTCTCTAGCTTCTCCTTCTCTCCCCCTGGCTTCTCCTTGTCTCGAAAGCTCTTGCTTCCTGGACCTCCCGCCTCTCGTCTCTCTCCGCCCCTCTCTTTCACTCGCCCGCCTTCCCCTGACTTCTCCTTACCCGCCTCTTCTCGAGCTGCTGCTGCTCCTGCCGTGGCCTTCCCTCCTGTCCTATTGGATAGGCCACCTGGAAACTTAGCGGCAGCCAGAACAGCAGTCATGGACATGGGAGCACGCGGTTTCCCACCTGAAACTGCACCTGAAGCAGCACCTGAAGCAGCACCTGAAGCAGCACCTGTGACCGGAACAGAAGCTGTGGCAACAGATGGTGAGGGTGGAGAGTGCGGCGACGATGGGGGCATGGTCACATCATGAGTGCCCTTAAGCCGCTTAGCAGCAGGCTCTACCGAGGCTGAGCCACCTCCTCCACTGCCACTTCTGCCACCGCCGCCATTCTTGCTGCTGCCAGCATTGCCAGCATTTCCAGCATTTCCAGCACTGCTCCTCCCCCCCCCACCTGCAGCCATTTGCCCTCCTGATTTGCCTTTTGGTACCTTCCTCTCTGTCCCTTCTCCTTCCCTCTCCTCCCCATTCCCCTTCCCTGCCTCCTCTGTTTTTTCCTTCCCAGCTGCTGATACTGCGCCCATCCTCCCTTGCTGCCCTTCAACCTCTCTTACAACAAGGTCAACACCACCGCCACTGCTGTCACCACCACCGCCTCCACCGCCACGACCAGCATCCTTGCACTCCGTCCCTGCACCCTCATGACCATCAATCCCACTCGCCTTCCCACTCTCCGCCTTGCTCTGTGCTGCAGCTGCTGCAGGCTTCCCACCACCGCCCTTCTCTCCACTCGCTTCCCTCTCCCCTGTCGCACTAGCTCTTGCCCCGTCCCCCTCCTCGCCCCCGCCTTGTGCCGCCTTCAAACCAGGAGCCCCCTTGGGAGTTCCCACCACTCCGCCCACTGCTCCTGCCGCTCCCCCCACTGCCACTCCTGCTGCTGCTGCCGCTTCGGCTGATTGTGCAGCAACAGCAACAGCAGCAGCAGCAGCAGCAGCACGGGCAAGAGCTACAGGAGTCCTGGCATGAGCAGCTGCAGCCGCAGCTAGGGTGACTGGGATGGTGGGCTGGGGAGGCACCGCAGCAGCCGCTTGACCACCTAACGACCCTTCACCGTTTCCGCTCCCACCACTACCTCCTGATGCTGGTCCTGCTCCTGCCGCTGCCGCTGCTCCTGCCGCTGCTCCTGCTGTTGTTCCTCCTCCAGCACTACGTACTCCCCCACTTCCCTCTCCTCCTCCTCCTCCTCCTCCTCCTCCTCCTCCTCCTCCTCCTCCTCCTCCTCCTCCTCCCTCCTCCTCCTCCTCCTCCTCCTCCTCCTCCTCCTCCTCCTCCTCCTCCTCCTCCTCCTCCTCCTCCTCCTCCTCCTCCTCCTCCTCCTCCTCCTCCCTCCTCCTCCTCCTCCTCCTCCTCCTCCTCCTCCTCCTCCTCCTCCTCCTCCTCCTCCTCCTCCTCCTCCTCCTCCTCCTCCTCCTCCTCCTCCTCCTCCTCCTCCTCCTCCTCCTCCTCCTCCTCCTGCTGCTGCTGCTGCTGCTGCTACCGCTGCTGCTGGAGCAGTAGAGGTGGAAGGCCTAAATGGCACAGGGGAGGGAAGGCGGGGAGAGGCAGCAGAGAGAGGAATGGTGGTGCGAGGGGAGGGAGAAGGGGAGCAGGAGGAGAGGGCGCGGCGGCCTGCGAGAAGAGACGAGATGGTGGATAGGGCAGGCATGACTGGCATGGGGGATGCGTCTCTTGCTGTTGCAGCTGCCGCTGCTGGTGTTATTGCTGCTGCTGCAGCTGGTGTTGCTGCTGGTGCTGGTGGTGGTGTTGCTGCTGGCGTCGTTGCTGCTGCCGGTGCTGATGGTGGTGTTGCTGGTGGTGGCATTGCTGCTGCTGGTGCTGGTGCTGGTGTTGCTACTGCTGGTGCTGTTGGTGGCGTTGCTGCTGCTGCTGCTGCTGCTAGGGTTGCTGCCGTTGCTGGTGGCGGTGTTGGTGCCGTTGCAGGTGCCGGTGGTAACGGTGCTGCTGATATTGCAGCTGTTTGCGCTCTTGATGCTGCAGCTTCTCCTGGTGTTGTTGGTGCTACTCTTGCTGTTGTGCTGCCAGCTACTATGGCAGTAGATACTGCAGGCAATGCTGCCGTGGCTTCTACCTTACCTGAATTTATCGCACCTGAACTTGTAGTTTCAACTTGCTCCACACCTGCTGCCACTTTTGCTGCCTCAGCTGCCCCTTCCTTCGTGCCTGTTGTTCCCACTACTGCTGCTGCTACTGCTGATGCTGCTGCCTCTGTGGTCACTGAACCTGCTGGTGCCACGACAACTGCAGCTGCACGTGCTGGTGCTGGTACCGGTACTGCTGCTGCTGTTTCTGTCAGCTTGGGCGCAGCCTTAGTGGCAGAAGCCCCTGGGGGAATTGGCATTGCAGCAGCAGCAGCATCAGCAGAAGCCGCATTGGATGGGCCCCTGGCAGGAGACGCAGACACAGACGAAGAAGCAGGAGGCGCAGAAGCAGAGGCAGAAGCAGAAACGGGAGCAGAAGCAGGAGTGGCAGCAGAAGCGGGAGCAGACGAAGAAGCAGGAGCAGGAGCAGGAGAAGCCGAAGAAACCGGTGCAGAAACGGGAGTAGATGCAGAAGCAGAAGCAGGAGCAGCAGCAGCCGCAGCAGCAGGAGCAGGAGCAGGAGGAGCAGCAGGAGCAGGTGCAGGAGCAGGGGCAGCAGGAGCAGGAGAAGGAGGAGAGGCACTGGTTCTCCCGTTATTGGCAGCTGCGCTGCTGGCAGCAGTGGCTGTAGCGGAGGCAGACAGTGGGCGCTTTATAACTGGTTGCGTTGGAGGGCTCTGCCATCAAGTCAAGTGGGAGAAGGGAGAGGGAGAAAAGGGGGGATCACGGGCCCATGGGGAGATGAAGTGGGGACGAGGAAGAGGGGACCATACGACGTGGCAAAAAATAGAGGAAGAAGGGGAGGAGAAAGCGGGTTGGGGGGGGCGGGGAAAATGGGGCAGGGGGGCATGGGGGCAGGGGGAAATGGGGGGGATGGAAAGGTGAAAGAAACGACATCAGCTGCACGTGGAACGAGAAACGACCACCTTAAATTCCTGCGGTCACCAATTCCTGCGGTCACCAGGAACAGGAACAGGAACCCCTTCATCTGCACTCCCCCTCTTCCCACCTTTCCCCTATCTCTCTCCCTCTCCCTCTGTCCCTCCCTCACCCCACCTTGGCATAGTGAGTGACGACATCTGCAGGCGACAGCAACTGCACATGATGCACGAACGCGTGCACGTGCATCCCTCCCCCTGTCGTGCCACCACCACCAGCACTTTTAATAGCGCTCTTGTCTGCTGCCCCTGCCCCTGACCCTACACCAGTTGCAGCTGTGCCAGCCCCTCCCGCCAACAGCAGGGGGGTCAGCTTAGCAGCTAGAGCAGCACGGGGGGGAGGGGAGGGGTATGTGTGGTGTGCTGCCTGTGCGTTGTTGATCCGCAGGCGGGCTGCTTCCGGATGTACCTATGTGGGAGTACGGATGGGATGATGAGATGGGGGAGGAGGGGATGAGAGGGGAGTGGATGCATAGGCAATGGAGGGGTGGCGGCAACGGGTTGCATTGGCTGTAGCGGAGGCCTACATTGCAATGCAACCCGTTGCCGCCACCCCTCCATTGCCTATGCATCCACTCCCCTCTCATCCCCTCCTCCCCCATCTCATCATCCCATCCGTACTCCCACATAGGTACATCCGGAAGCAGCCCGCCTGCGGATCAACAACGCACAGGCAGCACACCACACATACCCCTCCCCTCCCCCCCGTGACCGCAGGAATTTAAGGTGGTCGTTTCTCGTTCCACGTGCAGCTGATGTCGTTTCTTTCAACACCGCTTCGCTGATGCCCAAAACCGCTTCGCTGCTGCCGCTTCGCTGCTGCTTCACCCACTCTTCGTAGTAGAGAAGCCTGCGGGAAGAGGTCCGCCATCTCCTGCCAGTACCGCCGGTACCACTTGCCATGCCCCCAGGCACCTCCGACTGACTCCTAACCCACACTCATCTCCCGCAAGGTCTTCTCCTATCATGCTCTAAGTCCCCACTAAGTGACCCCAAGCTCACCTCGCTTCTAACGAAGAACACCATGTCGCGGAACGACCCGTCTTGACTCGCATCCCCTCGGATCTCCACGCCGCGCACGAAGAAGAGGTCCGTCATCTCCTGCCAATACCGCCGGTCCATCATCAGCGCCGTCTGCTGCGCCTCCGTGCCCGTGGCGTCTAGGGAGGTCGCTGGCCGCACCAGGGACCCCGAATGTTTCCGGACTATTTCCAAAATGTCCTTGCGGCTGGGGAGGAAAGGGGCATCCGGGCATGTTGCAGGGATAAAAGAGGGGATCGGTTAAGGGAGGGAAAGAAGAGGTCCCCACACACCTCCCCACACACCTCCCCACACACCTCCCCACACACCTCCCCTCACACCTCCCCTCACACCTCCACCCACCCAACTCGCATTCTCCCACACCTCCTCGCGCCTCACCTCATAGCCCTCCCAGGAGGGGGCGACGAAGGAAGCGGCGGCAAATCAGCCCCCGAGCCTGCTGTTTCCCCATTCACCGTCGTCAAATCTCTCCACCGGCTGTCCCGCTCCCTCGTGCCCCCTAGCGCGCAGACCGGCGCATCCACCGCCATGTCCGCACCCCTCTCCGCGCCAGCTTCAGCGGGCCTCGCTGCTCCATCTTCCGCCGATCTGCTTCCGCTCGCTTCCGCGGAACCCACGGAGGCGGAGGCCTGAGCTTCCGCGCGCGCTTCTGCTTGCGCTTCCGCTTGCGCCTGCTGGCGCATTTGCGCCTGTTGCTGGATTTGCAGCGCGCGCAGCATGTTAGCGAGCCGTTGGCGATCTTCCGACGACAGGCTCTTAACTCCGGAGTGCACGCTAGGGGACACCGTCCCGGAACGGATGATGGGGGAGTAGAGTCCGGGTGAAACCATCCCCGGGGATCGAGACATGGCAGCTGGTGGGGACGGTATGGGAGGGGAGGGTAATGCTGGGGATGCTGCGTTTGCTGAGGAGATTACAGCAGATGGTACATTAGCGGATGGTACTGTGGCTGATGCCACTGTAACGGGTGGTACTGTTGCGGATGGCACTGTAACGGGTAGTGCTGTAGCGAATGGTACTGTTGCCGATGGTACATGAGGTGATTGTTCTGCATGCGGTTGTAATGAGGGTAATGGATTGGTTGCAATGGCGGCAAGAGGCGTGGCTAGGGTAGGTTGGGGTGGCGGAGGTGGGGGAACTGGTGGAATCGATTCGCCACTTAAAGACGTCTCTTCAGCCGCTGTCTGATACGAAGTGCTATCTTCCATATCTACATCCATGGCGTCGGAATCCATGGTAGATAATTACCGGATGTGTATGGGAAGCTGCAAAGGAAATATTTCCGGCCTCGCCTACAGCTCGCCTTAGGGTGGACCCTGGTCTATAACCGCAGGGTATTAATTACTTCGGTGATGTACTAGCCTGACCATTATTTTCAATCTACAGAACCCTAATACTTACAAAATGGCTCTGAATTCTAAGACCCGATCGTGGTTGGTGGAGGCGATATGGCCGACTAGAAGCAACGACTGGTAATCTTGCTTTGAAACGCCTACTGACATTTGACAAAATATTTTAGTGATTGCTAAGTTGCGAGCCGTCAACTGAGAGTCAGAACGGCAAATGCGGGAGTGATGTCCCTTCAGGAATCGCAAACCCATGCGTACGATGTGCTGCAGACAGAAAAAACTGTACAGTATTGGAGAAAGTAAGTTCGAGCCTCTTGAAATTTGGCTCTTTGTTATGAATGGGACTGCCGAGTAGCGCGGAGGGCAATGGCGAAACTGTGAACGAGTGAATGACAATAAAATGAAAGACAATACAATATATAGAAAGCCTAGGGTGATCCTGGACGTACGATCGGAAGGTTCGAAAAAGGGTAGCGAAGGGCCTCGATGTGTCGAAGCGAGGTCCGGAAAGGCCCAGGAGGCTCGAACTGAAAGGTCTGGAACCCTATCGCTGGTTCGGGACAGTTCGAGTCGTACGCTCTGTAGCAAGCCTCAGTAAGGAATTACTAATTCCTTACACTCTTCTTTCTGGTTGAAGCACGATGGTTCCGAAAAAAAACACTACGCTAGGGCATTGTCAAGATTTGCCTACAGCTTCTCCTATGTCCATGCCGTTTCACCTTTTGGTTTCGTGTGCTGCACCAGTCGTACTGTTACTTCTGTAGATGGTGTGTAAGGAATTCCGATTCCTTACTGGGGCTCGCCACAGCGAGTACCGCGAACAGCGCGCGTCCGCAAGCTCGGTCCTTGGTTATCGCGCCAAACCAGTCCCCGACGACCTTTTCGGCCCAAACCTCTTCCCGAGTCGCCCCGAACCTGTTTTGACCCCGTTACCCTCCGACTATCGAGCCCTTGACGGGTCCAACTCTCGACATTCAACATGGGTCAACTTGCACTATATAAGCCCTAGGTCTCATTTGGATAGGACATTCTGTAATCATGTTCCCTTATAGTATTCTGCGCTATACTCTGAGTTATAATTCATAACAGCTGGTATCAGAGCTACGTTCCTGCCCATTAGGCTTTCGGTAAGGAAGCAGACCCTATCTGGGAAAGGGGAGGAAGGATGCTGATGGCGAGCGCACGTCGAGGAAATTAATTGTGCGGGCGTTGCCGATGCCGTCAGATCCTGTCCGATGGACGGTTGGGATTGGCCGGTCCTCCCCTTCCCTGGTCGTAGATGGAATTATTTTCCGTCGAAGAGTGGACGACGTTTTCGCCGTGTTTTTCGGGTATGTTCGTTAGAGCTTTCTTAATTTTCGGGTGTTTGGACGGAGTCTTTGGATTGGCTTCCGAAAAAAACAAGGGCTTCGTCATGAGGAGACAAGTGCACGGGAGTCCTCAGGCGGCCGGGAGTTGGTTGTCAGGAGCGCGCGGGGTGGCGAAAATGGCGGGATGTACGGCGATGTACGTCTGGCACGCCATGCAGCGGCAGGGTGAACTGTAGCTGTCTCGCAGGTCCCGGCGTTTCCGGCAGATTAGTTGCAGGCGATGGACGGGACTTCGACAGTATTCGGCACTGGGCAGATCCGACAAATTCGGAACGACACGATCGCACGAAGTCGTGTGGGTGTGCAGTTGTGTGGGAGCACCTGAGATTAACGACCTCGGCGCCATACACTACGACGGCCATCGCGAGGTGATGACGCTGCGCTGGAGTGAGTGTACTCAGCGAGGGCGAGTTCCCGTGTGGGGAGGCGTTTTTCGTGGACCAGCGATTCATACCCCCACGATCAACGGAAACGGAGGCCACCACCCCTAGGTGTGTATTAATTGTTCTTCCACCGGTCGCCGAATGCGTACTGTCAGGAGTTGAAGAAGTGGGAGAAGAACGACGGGAGTACTGGAGCAGATGCGTTAGCGGCGTTCGGGATGCTACTCGCTCAGCTACGTCGCCCTAAAATCACCATTCCCACTAGGTAGCAGTGTGGACTTATTAATCGACGGCTTCTGGCTAAATAAGGGGGGTGAATCTGCAAACTACACTGTGCTGATGGACTGTCCCCGAAAATTTAGTTCCTTTTGCAGTGGAGCTGAGGATTTTTACCTGGTGCAGCAGAAAAGAGATTCCGACTTTTGCGGTTGCAGTTTGACGAGTTTCCGACGGAGGAGGGAGCTGTCTAGCGGTCAGTAGGCGAGCTCGTTAAAGCTCCTCTGACTAGTCGCCGACCATTCTAACTCCTTGCACAAAAGAGGAAGCTCTCTCGGGGCCTTATAAGAAGGAGTGGAAGGCAGCAATGGATGTGGAGAATGAGGCGTTCATTCGCAACAACAGCTTTAACGATGTCGCTCCCCCTTCCGGTGTTAACATCGTCGGCGGAAAATGGATCTTCCGAGTCAAACAACTCCCAGGCGAAGCTCCACTATTCAAGGCACGATACGTGGCAAAGGGTTTCACATAGAAGGAGTATCTCGACTTCTTCGAAACCTTCTCATCCACGGCCAAGCTCCCGACTCTGCGCGCTCTTCTTGATATAGCCGCTCGCGGCAAATTCGAGATCAAGTCCATGGACGCCTCCTCCGCCTTTCTCCAAGGCCAGCTCAAGGAGGATGTTCACATGGAATGCCCACCGGGATTTCCTGGCACATACCCTGCCAACACAGTGTGGAAGCTGAAGCGCCCAGTGTATGGCCTCAAGCAGGCTCCTCGAAAGTGGCACAACAAGGTGAAGGAAGTCCTCCTCGCACTTGGCTTCCATCCTTTCACCTCAGATTCCAGTCTCTTCGTTCGTCAGTCCTCCGAGCCCTTCTACATCCTCGTCTACATCGATGACTTCATTCTAGTCGCCAGAGATCCAGCCGAGATGGCAGCTGTCCAGTCTGCTCTCAGCTCCGCCCTTCTCATGAAGGATCTTGGTGACATCAAGAACTACCTGGGGATGGAGATCACTCGTGACTGCCAGGCTTGCACGATCACCCTCTCCCAGGAGTCCTACATCGACAACCTTCTCAAGCGGTTCGACATGGACTCCAGTAACTCTATCTCCACTCCACTCCCACTACAGCATCATCTCACGGCCCCTCAGATTCCTTCTCCTGACGACTGCAAGGACCCGTACCCTGAGCTAGTCGGTTCACTCATGTATGCCATAATGTGCACTTGACCAGACTTGGCTTACCCGGTTAGTGTCCTCACTCGGTACGTCTCCCCTGGACGCTACACTGCCTCGCATTGATTTGCAGCCAAGAGGGTCCTCCGCTATCTACAAGCCACCAAGTCTCACATCCTCACTCTCGGTGGTACCTCTCTAGTCAAGCTCGAGGGATACACAGACTCCTCATGGGCCGATGACCGTGAGTCCACTACCGCTGCCGCCCTTGCCCGTTCGGTCTGGTTGTCGCGTGACGCTGTCGTACAGCTCGCGATCAGTGATGCCCTCCCCCTGTCTGAGCGCCTACGCTTTCAGTTGGTCAGGACTGCGCAACAGTTCCTAGAGGCAGCGCGCGCTACTTACTAAGACAACACCTGCTTTGGCGACAGCCGCCGCACCGCAGTTCCGTCCAGGGAAGGGTCGCCGCCCCAAGGCTGGGCGCGACGGCAGTAGTGGAGGAGGTGGTGGAACCTGGTCGCCCTCTGGTAGTGCTGACAAAGAGGCTGGGACTGGTGCCTCTGAGCAGCAGCCACAGCAGCAGCAGCAGGCACCGCCGCTGGACCAACAGCAGCGGGTTGGACGTCTCCCGCCCGGGTGGCCTCGAGCTAGTGGTGGCGGCGGCCGCAGTGGTCGTGCGCGCATCGTGCTGTCGAGTGGTAGTTCGAGTGACGGGGGCTGCCTGTACCAGCTCCAGACCGGTCCTCGCCATGGCTTCGTGTACGGTAAGATCGGTCACACACCCACCTGTTGTTTCTGTCTCCTGGACGACCTGTTTCATCTTCGCTTCGCCCTTAGCCTGACCTCCCCGACTGGCACAGCTTGCTTCGCCGTGGTGTTCAGATCTTTGATATGGACATGGACGAGATTAGTTCTGCATTGTATGTGCTATATGTCGCTGACTCTAGTGTGACTGGTTCCTATTACCCCCTGTTGCCTAACGTAGGTGTGCCTAGATCAGACTCCCCTGCTGCGTCAGGCGTAGGATCCCCTGCTCTGTTTAGCCTTGGCTCCTCCCTCGCTACTCTGACCCCTACTGCCACTGCCGCGCACTCCGTTACCGTGGACTCCGACACTTCCCGGTGTTTCTTTCGGGACTCCACTACGCTGATGCCGCTTGCCGCTCCCGCCGCAGTTTCCCTTGTAGACCCTTTCTCAGGTCTTGTAGTCGCCCATAGCTCCACCACCCTTCCCTGTCCGGCGGTTCCTTCGGGCTCTCTTACAGGCCTGTATATCCCTCCGTTCTCTAGGAACCTAGTTGGTGTCGGCTGCCTCAGGACCTTGGCGTCACTACTATGTTTCCTGGTCACGAGCGGTACGCTGTCTGTACCGAGGCCACCACTGGTGCTCCCCTCACCACGTTCCCCTGGGACCCGGTGTCTGGCTTGTTCAAGCTGGACACCGCGTCCCCCTCGATCGGGATGTTTACCCCAGTATCTGTGTCTACCCATGTTGCAACAGCTTGCACTTGTCGGTCGCTCACTCACCCGACGCTCCTTTGGCACCACCGTCTAGGTCACTCTGCCCTCCCACGTCTTCGTCACGTGTCCCAGCACGGTCTTGTTTTAGGTCTCCCTGAGTCTTTCCCCGCGCTCCCCTCCTCCCCCGCGCCCCCGTGCACGCCCTGTGTCGAGGGCCGGCTCCGCCGTGCCCTTCACTCCTCCTCGTTCCCCCCCACCACTTCACCGTTGCAGACCCTGCACATGCACGTCTGGAGCCATGCCCCCGTCCATGGGCCGCGTCGTGAGTGTTACTTCCTTGCCCTCATTGATGACCACACCCGCTACACCACCGTGTTTCCCCTAGAGCGGAAGGCCGACGTGCCTGACGTTCTTATCCCATGGCTTGTCTCCACGCGAGTTGACCGAGGTCTCCCTGTGTTGCGTCTTCACTCCGACCGTGGTGGCGAGTTCGCCTCTGGCTGCCTTGGTCGCTTTGGTCGTGCGGAGGGCATCACCCAGACGTTCACCCTGCCGGACTCCCCACACCAGAATG